GCCTGAACCAATAGTTGTGGCCAAGTGGAGGGGATCTATCGATTGGCTGGATCTCAGTCACAGACCTACCTTGGAGTCTCACCCACCTGACCACATGGGCCAAGAGTGGGTGAGTCTCCAAAGAAGAACCAAAGTGCTGCGACCAGAAAGCAGAGAGTAGGTGCTGGGTGGGCAAAAATAGCCAGCGTCTTCGACAGCGGCCTTAAGGTTAACGAATCAATCAATGTGGCATTATTGGATAAATGGGTGCTGACGATATTGACTCCCAGTCTGATTCCCCAAAGTCCTCCTTCCTCCCACATCCAACCAGGTGGCTCCAATCGCAAGAGGACAGGACCAAGTCCTGGGGTTCCCAAGGCAGTGCCAACGGCGTGGAGAGGTGTCCCCCTGTCTGTTGGCCCTTTTCTCCATGACAGTAAAAGTTATCAGAAATCATCACGAATTTGGATATTTGAAGTTCCTCTGTACCTTCAACTTGCCCAAATATATAGTATGTTTTATTAATTTCCACAGATTCTTTCCAAAAGCTCTTTTCAAGAATGATGAGCATTCTCTGGTGCTGTCCACTGTCCTCTGCCTTAGGGGCCTGTAATCAAAATGCTCTGCTCCTCATCCTCCTTCCCATGTCCTCCCTCTGTCTCCCTCCTCTCTGTCTCTCCTCCCCCTCCCTCTTCCTCTCCCCCTCCTCTTTACCTAGTTTCCTTTACATCTGAGCTTTCCAGAGTTCAGTTGTCAGCAAACCAGCTTTGTGATTTTGCCAAGTCTCTGCACCACCTTTACAATAACTACTTCATATTGCAATTCAGGTTATTTTTATTTTGCTTAAATAAACCCATGTAATTTATTTTATTTGCCACACACGAAAAACCAGCATCACTTGTCATAAATGAAAGGTAAATATAAAAGTAAGCAGAATGAAATAAACAATGTTACAGAAGTAGAACAACAACAAAAACCAACTCTATGCAATGATGGTCAAGGGGCTTGAATAGACATTTCTCCAAAGAAGGTATACCAATGACCAATGACAAGATGCTCAACATCACTGATCATCAGGGAAATGCAGATTAAAGCTACAATTAGTTATCACCTCACAACTGTTAGGATGACTACTACCAAAAAACCTTCAAAATAACAAGTGTAGTGAGGATGTGGAGAAATTGAAACCTTGGTACACTGTTGGTGGGAAGGTAAAATGGTGCAGCCTCTATGAAAAACAGTATAGGGTTTCTTAAAGAAATTAAAAATAGAATTATCATATGATTCAGCTATTCCACGTCTGAGTATGTACCCAAAAGATTTAAGAGCAGAGTGTCAAAGAGATAGTTATACACTTATGTTGATAGCAACATTCACACTAGCTAAAGTGTGGAAGCAACCCAAGTGCCCATCAATAGATGAATGGATAAATAAATGTGGTCTACTCATACAATGGAATATTATTCAGCCCTAAAAGGGAGGGACATTCTGACACATGCTAGAACATGGATGAACCTTGAGGACATTAGCTAAGTGAAATAAGCCAGACACAAAAAGACAAATGCTAGATGATTCCACTTATATGAAGTAGTTAGAGTAGTCAAGATTATAGAGACTGATGCAAAGTAGAATGGTTCCAGGAGCTGGGAGGAGGGGAGAATGGGGAGACACTGTTTAACAACTGTTTATTTAGGTGCAGTTTCAGTTGTACAAAATGAAAATATAAGGAAATGGATGGTGGTGATGTTTTAACAACATCACGAATGTATTTAAAACCACTAAACACTTAAAATGGTTAAGATGGTCAATTTTATATTTCAGGTATTTTGCCACAATAAAAGAAAATGGGGGACAGAAGTTTAGCTAGATTCTGTGGTCTGCCCAAGGCTCTAAGTCTGTGGCCTGTTCTCTCTTAGAACAAAAAGGGATTCTGTGAGAGGTTGTTAAAGACACAGCCAGCCAAGGTGTCCTCCTGGGCACAGTCAGAAGGACTAGACAGGAGAGAAGGAAAGAACTTTGTCACTGTGTGTGGGTATTGGTGACTGTCATGGTGGGTGCCACCTCCAGGAATGGCACTCAGGGTGCTGTGAGGACCAATGAAAAGTCTGCCTCCTGGGACAATCTCATGGACCATGTTCTCTTCCCTGGACTTCCTGCTCTCAACTGGGTTAGAAGACTCTGAGGGCAAGGCCAGCGCCATCCCAACTCTGTAGCCACCTGCCTCACAGGCTCATTCAGCGAGCGTCGGTGTTAGTTTGAGCTGCAGGAGGCAGTGGACACAGCGTGTGGCCTAGCAGCTCTGACATCTCATGGTCTGAACACAACAGGAAATGTCTTCTAGCCATTTTTCCCTGTTAGCTGATTAGTGTATTTTCTCTTTTTCCAGCCATCCTCCAATCTAATATTATTTTATATTGTGTGTGATGGATATTTTAATGCCAAAGAAATCTTACCTAATAATAGGCAAACATGTAAATTAACCATCCCTCCGCTATGCTCACCAGCCAATCAGGAGAGTATGCAAATTAACCCAACAAAGATGGCGGTTGATTTGCATACGTAGAGGCGAAGCGGCAGAGTGAAGACTTAAGGCTCTGTCTGGAGCCGTGAAGACTGAAGGCTCCATCAGGAGTGAAGGCCTGGGTCCCAGGTGCCGGAGGAAAACCGGTGCTGGCAGCCAGGGGAAGGGAAGGCCTATTGCACGAATCTCTTCGTGCAATGGGCCTCTAGTCTATATAATAAAAGCCTAAGCGACTGTTACGGAAGAACAACCAGAACGACCGGTCGCTGTGGTGTGCACTGACCACCAGGGGGCAGATGCTCAACAGGGGGAGCGCTGCTCAGCCAGAAGCCGGGCTCATGGCTGGCGAGCAGAGCAGCGGTGGCGGGAGCCTCTCCCACCTCTGCGGCAGTGCTAAGGAGCCCTGAGCCGAGAGGTAAGGATCAGTGAGTAGGCGGGCGGTAAGGAGCAAGGGGTCCCAGACTGTGAGAGAGGGTGGGCCGAGCTGAGGGAACCAGCCCCCCACAGTGCACGAGGCCTCTAGTAGATAATAATTAAGTGATCCAAATCCTAGCCCAGTGGAGCAGAAGTTACTCCCAGAAGAAACACTTTGGGGTTTTTCTAATTTTCAAAATACGGAGCACAGAAAATAACGCAGAAGCCCCTACAGAACCCTGTCCTTTGGGCGGCAAGTGACCCTCAAAGAGGTGTCTATCACTCTCCACTCCTTGACTTGGACTCAAGGACTGGGCAGAATGGGAGGGGCCTGGGCAGGGGACTGAGCTGATGCTTGACTACAATTTTAGTTACAATGGCTCTGCAACAAGTCACCCAGAATTGAGTGGTGCAAAACGACCATTCATCATGCCCACGGGTTTTGTGGGTCAGAATTCAGACAGGCACAGTTGGGGCAGCTAGTCCTCAGTTGGACGTTTTGAAGGCTGGGGCCTCCAGTCATCTGAGGCTCATTCGTTTACATATTAGTGGCTGGCGTTGGCTGTTGGCTGGGAGAGCTCAGTGTCTCTCCATGCAGGTTTCTCCCATCTCCATGTGAATGCGCTACATGGGGGCTTGTTTGAGCTTCTTCCCAGCATGGTGGCTGAATCCAGAGGACAAATGTCCCAAGAGCCAGGTGAAAATTGTAGCACCTTTTATGACTTTCTCCCAGAGGTCATTCTTATCACTTCTGTTGCACTGCTTTTTAGAAGTGGGTCATTCAGGCTAAAGAGGATGGGGGTGGTACTCAACGCCACATTTTATGGCAGGAGTGTCAAAGGGTTTCAGACATGTTTTAAGTCGAAAATGGCCTGAGACATGAGGAGCAACTGCAGGGCCTCAGACCTGTTTCTCGTCCTCCCCGTGGCCCGTGACTCCCTGCTGTGTCCTGGGTTCCCCTGGGAGGCCACCTCCAATCCAATCCAAGCAGGTGAGGTAGGCAGTGGCAGGGAGGCAACTGCCCGATGACCTTGGGAGCGCTGCCCCTCCTTACGGTCCTTCCCTCTGGTCAGGGAACGCTGCTAAGGAGGGACGATAAGGGCTTCTTGGTGTCCTCAGGAGTCAGCATCCAGGGCCTAATCCATGGGAAGCATTCATTCATCCATCCATTCACCCACAAATCTTTCGTGACTACTTCCTATGTGCCCAGGGACAGTTCTGAGCACAAATGGTCTTGGTAAGGAACAAAATAGACCAGCCCTCCTGTTCTGGGCATGCTCCATGCCCAAGACAAGTCCCAGGTGGGCTGGGAGAGCCGAGAGCCGCCAGCACGCGGACTCTGAAGGAGGGGACTTGCCTCTCTCTGAAGCCACCCCTCTGTGCAGGGTCCATAAGCAAGTCCAGGCCACCCCAGGACCGCTAACCCTGCCTGGTTGACTTTGCTCCCAGCCAGTGCCCACACCCACTGGCTCTGAGCACCTGGGAGAGGCAGGGAGGCAAGCCAGTGCCCTGAGTCACGAGTGTAAAGTACGGCCAGGGCCCTGGCAGGCAGGCCTTGTGCAAGGACGGTAAGGTGTCCTTAGGTGAACAGTCAGACATGTCGCTTTCCCTTAGCCTGAGGTGGAAGGTAGCAGCCTTTCTGCGCAACCTTCTCTCTTGCCTGGTCCTCTGGGGGTGGGAGCTGCAGGTCCTGGGGCAGCAGAGCAGCGAGCAGAGGCAGTGTGAATGCAAGTGTGTGCCCTGTCTGTGTGTCTGTGTGTGAGTGTGTGTGTGTTCGCGTGGCCTCCCAGCAGCTGTCCGGCCCCCACCCCACCGCACCCGCCTGAGCGCCGCCCCCACCCCTTGCCGTGCTGGGTGCGCTGCGGGGCTGCTGTGCTCAGAGCGCTTCCTCAGCGCCGGAGACCCCCGGAGCGCCGGGTTCAAAGGCCCCCGCGCGCAGCTCCAGCCCTCTGGGGGGCGGGGAGGCGAGGGGGTGGTGCGGGAGCCAGAAAAGCCTGAGCCCACAGCCGGCCGCCGTGCGCAGGGATGGGCAGCGTGCTCTGAAGTTTGTGACCGCTGCAGCCAACTCCTGGCGGGAGCGGGGACCCAGCAAGTGAGAGGCCCTCCGCAAACCCCACAGCTGGAGGGTGAGGCCCGAGAGCCCTTCTGGGGCCACAGGAGTGCGTCCTCCAGGCCCGGTGCTCCCGCGCCTGATCGGGGTTCATGGAGCTGGGGCTGTGGCTACTCTTCGGGCTCACAGTGACCTCCGCTGCAGGTAAAAGCGGGGCGGGGCGGGGCGCCTCTTCTGGCGCGAGCGCACACAAAAGGACGCTGGGCTTGGGGGGCGCGGGGAAGGGTGCATTGCGGGGAGCAGCCTTTTGCCTGGGCTCGCCATCCCTGGAAGCTCCTGGGGGAAGGTTGGGGGCCGAAGCGGGAGCACGGACTACCTCAGGGGCTCTGGAGGTTGCATGTAGCCCATGCACAGACTGGAGACCTGTGGCCTGAGCTGCCTCGGTCGGTTTTTCATTAAATTGGAAACTTTTCAAAAAGTTTGTAAATCCTTCAGAAACTGCAAAATGATTGCAAAGTTTTGAGAAAGCGTGCAAAATGCTTGCAAGTTTCCAGCGGGTGCAAATAGCTTGCAGACTTCGCAGAAAGTGAAAATAGCTTGCAAGCTGGAGTACACACATAGTTTGAGAACTTTCGGAAACTGGGCACATAGCTTTGCAAACTTTTCAGAACATTTGGTATTGCTCGGAGACTTTCTGGAAAGTGCAACTAGCTTGCAAACCTTGCAGAAAGTTTGGGGTCTTCCTCTGCCAGGATTTTGGAAGCGGAGGGGGGGGGGCATGCACACTCAGGAGCTCAGGGGCCCCTCAATCTGCCTCTTGCAGGATTGGTGCCTGGCGCCCAGCCTGCAGCCAGATCGGAGGGGGACATTGAGACCGTGGCCAGGACTGCAGTGCAGGGTCCAAGTCCCCGGAGCCCTGGGCAGGAGCAGGGACCAGGTTGGTTTGGGGAGCAGGTGGCCAAGGGGGGCCCAGCACGCCGCCGAGCCAGACGCTGCACGTGTTTCACCTACAAAGACAAGGAGTGCGTCTACTATTGCCACCTGGACATCATCTGGATCAATACCCCTGAATGAGTGAGCCCTGGGGGTGGCGATGTGCCTGGGGGGGAGGGGCTCCTGTGCCAAGCTACAGCTTCACATCCCAGAGGACCTGGTCCCACCCCAGCCCCGTCAGCCCAGAGCCTGCCCTGGCCCTGAGTCCAGCTCTCACTGGGTCTCCTGCCAGCCCGGTCCCATCTGTAGGTCAGGGTGTGACCCGCATCCCCTGGGAGGGCCTGGACTGGGAGAAACCCAACCCCAGAGTTTCTGCTCCAGGTGGAAGGGAAGCCCCCCTCCCGGTGAAAGGAGCCAGCCAGAGGGATTAGACACCTGAGAAGCCCGCTGAGGCGGAGGAAGCCCCGAAAGTATCTCCTGCCCCAGGGGCTGCGGGGCCATCCCTGCTACTGACCCTGCCAGGCTCCAAGGAGTTTCAAATTCCTTGAGAGCAGCCTGTGGTCAGGGAACAGGGAACTGGGGGTGGGTGGGTGGGGAGTGGGGGGCTGAGGGGTGTAGGGGGGGCTTGCAGGGTTGGCAGGGTCAGGGTGAGATTCCCCAGGCTCCTTTCCTCTTAGGGGCGGAGGCGGAGGGACCCTCCCCGGGCTGGCTCCTGTGGCCCCTGCACCCCCTGCTGCAGACAGGCCCTAAGGACTCTCGGTCCTGGTCTGCCCTCCGTGAAGCTGACCCTCGCCCAGGCCATGGCAGTGCTCTGCTGGGCGGGGCTGCTGGCTTCCCGCCCACTCCCTGGGGCAGAGGACCTGGTTTCTCCTGAGCTCGCCCTCCCAGGGGATGCGGGTCACATCCTGACCTACAGATGGGAAAGGGCTGGCAGGAGACCCAGCGAGAGCTGGAGCTCTGTCCTGCAGCGAGAGGGCTGGGCCTTGCCCTCCTGGTCCCTTAAATCTGGTGCGTTCATACCCTGCGTGGTCTTGGGATCTCCCGGGACTCCCGGCTCCCTGGTGGGCATTCTTCTCCAGTGGCTGCTGTGAACGCGAAACCTGGGCCGAAAGGCAACGCTGTCCCTGTATTGGGAGCCACATTGATTCATGCCCCTCCTGGTTTCCTCCATCCCCAAGCCAATTCACCTCCAAGCACCCGGGTGACCCCTTTGATGGGCTTGCTTGCCACCTTGTTCCATGGACTCCTGGAGAAGGAAGTGCAGAGCAGGGTAAGCTCAGGGATCGGATGTCTTTCAAACCAGGTGACTTTTCAGTGAGACTTCTCACGACATCCAGAATGGCAGGCGGGGCAGCTCACCCAGCAGCCTGGACTCAGGCACAGGCTCCCGGGCGCGGAAGGATCCACCCTCAGTTTGATGCTCTGTTGTTTCGTCTTGAACTTCTTAATTCTTTCTGAACTAGAGGGTCCACACTTGCATTTCATCCTGGGCCCGCAAGTCACATAGCCCTTCCTGATGCTGAACGGGCTTGCTGGGCTGTGTGCGCTCCTACACACAGTCAGTCCGCAGCAGAGAGGATGGCAGCTGCCCTGCTAGCTTCCCTTTGAGGGACTCCTAGACCAGGCTGCCATCGATTGCCCTCTGCCCCTGAGAGTGGTCAGGGTCACCTTTTCTTAGAGCCCCATCGCCCTGGCACTTGTCACGCTTCTGATCCACCTGCATTGCGATCTGACTAAATGAGCGTCTCAGAACCCAGCACTCAGGGCGGTCAGCCGTGGGGCTGTCTTGCCTTGGCAAGTATCCCAAGCTGTGGATTCATCTAGAAGGAGAAAGAAGGAAGCCCAGGAGTTAGGGGCAGGGGGCTGGGGCAGAGGGGAGCAGGAGGGAAGAGGAGAGAATTCGGAGACCACCTTGGTTCTCTGCCGGTTCCCGAGCCCCCAGCCATCACTGATCCCTGACATGCACCGGAGGCTAGGCAGACCCCCGCCCTGTGGGAACCCTGCCCCCTAATTTCCAGTGGTTTGCATGCCGCGGCGAAGCCTGGATCTTTGACTTTCTCCGGACAGCCAGCGTGCTAACTTTCCCTCGCAGTGTGATTTACATCTTCCTCTCTCCCCTGACCCTGGCCATTTTAAACACGAGGAGAGGGATTAAATACGGTGTTTGGGAGTCCTGTGAACTACTCGGGAAACAAAAATGACAATAGCCAGACTTGAGCAGTTTGAAGTTAGACAAGCAAAATTATTTTTCTAAGGAAGATTTTTCCAGATGGTCTTTCTCTTTTCCTCCTTTCTTCCTTTCCTCCTTCCCTCCCTCTCTCCTTTATTCTTTCCTTGCTTTCTTCCTTCCTTCCCCAAACTATTCCTTGATATGTAGACTGGTCCATTTGTTATCTTTAAACCAAATGGGGACCTTTTTCCTGCCAAGGGTCATTTGGATATTTATAACTATCATTCGAGGGCCATACAAAATTATCAACTTAAACACTAGCCTGCTATATTTGGCCAAACATTTAATTAGCTCACCCCTAGTGCCTTGGCAGGGCCAGACCCAATGATTTCAAGGGCCTTATGTGGCCGGTGGTCCGGATGTTCCCCTCCCCTGCCTTAAATCGTCTGACGAGTTGCAATGTGAGAAAACGGGCTGTGGGGACAGGGAACGTGGGTTTTGGAGAAATGAAAGAATCGGAGAAGTTCGTCAGTCACATTGAAGGCGCAGCAGTGGCACAGCGAGGTCCTCTCCGGCCTCTGCATCACAGAGGGGGGCTTGCAGGGTCTCTCTCTCAGCTGTCACCCCTGCTCTCTATCAGACCCTCCTGGCGCTCAAAACTCCTCCAGTGTGTGATCTCCTCCCTGTACCAGCTGCTGGCTGCCCCGAGAACCCAGAGCTTCTTGATCCTCATGCTTAATAAGAGTCTGGAACTTGGGTGATTCTCAGCTTTGGGTGTCTTTCCTCCTACTGCTCATCCAGTCGGCAGCAGAGATGGACTCAGCCGCCTCCTTTATTCGGGAAGGGTGTCTGCAGGCTGCAGGCTTGCTGTGAGTGTAGTGCTCCACGCCACAGTTAAGGACCTCAAAGCCTTACCCAGCACGAGGATGCCGGGGTTTGTGCTGAGATCTGCTCTGCATCTTGTGTGGAGAGTTGACGTCCGGTTCAGGCCTGAGAGACCCGTTACTCCCTGACTATCTTCTGGGCTTAAGATCCGAGGTTCTCTGGTTCTCCCATGTTTTCCCACACACTTAGCTCTCCGGACTGAGCTGGGTCAGCCCTCTCTGCCAGCACGCGGCCCAAGGAGAGCTCCGGCCCAGTCCCGCGGGTGCTTCCCTGGCTTTGCTGTCGCCGAGTTGCTGGTGTGCGAGGCTTTCTCCCACCAATAAGGCTTCTTGTTCCAGGGGAGTGGATGCTCCCCACAGGCCGGCGTGCCCCTGCGGACCGATGTGGGAGTGGGGATTTTCCCAGTGATGGTGCGCATAGCTTTCCATCGTATCCCCCAGAAGGTCCGTGGCCCCCAGAGAGGAACCCAGGCTGTCCTGGGCATCTGCCCTTCTTGTCCCCTTTGGAGGCAGCTGAGACAGCCTGATTTTCATGACTTTCCTTGGCCACTCACCCAGCTGGAGAGTGGAGCTAGCCCATCAGATGGCTGATGGAGCTTCAGGACACCCAGCAGGAGCCCACTGTGTTCCTCCCCACTGTGTTCCCAGGAATGGAGGGGACCTGCCATCTGTTAATCCCTCCTAGGACACAGTGAGGGGAGCACCGCGATGCTATCACAGTGACTGTGGTTTTCAAAGCTCCGAGCCACATGGGCTGGCGAGTAGGAATTAATTTAAAAAAAAGAGCAGAGCAGGGTGTTAGAAGTCATGACTGTGCTGGACAACTCGGGATGCACAGACCCTCAGGGGAGACCCCAGCCCCCGGAGCTCTGACTCACACGTGGCCTGGGGGTGCTACCCTTTCGCTGCAGCCCCTGGAAGGTGCAGACACCAGTCCGGCTCTAGGATAGTGAACAGCGTGGCCACCTCAGCCTCTCCAAAGTGCGCCATGCTGACTCAGCCCAACAGGAACGACCTTCGTTTGGGGTTTTTTTTCTTCCCAAAGAAGTAGAGTAAGAAAGAATAATCATAATAACTAACAATTCACCAGATTCACCTTTGCCCCCTGTGTTGTCAAAGAAAAGTGTGTCAGCATGTTTCCAAGAAGGGACCTTCCAAATTGTAGGCCATCCAGGTGGAATGGAAGGAACTGGAACCCCAGCCTCCTGCTGACATGAGGTCAGCCGTGCACCCACTGTGTGATTTCGGGGACCCGGTAGCAATCACCCCACCGTGAGCCAGGACAGGATATTGTTGATGGAGATGCAGATGTGGAGGCAGAAGGACAGTGTTTCTGGCTGTGGTGATAACCATGGCAATGCAGATGGTGATGGTGGCAGCGCCGACGTTGACTGTGCTGCCTACGGGGAAAGATGCGTGAGGACGGCTGTGAGGATGGCATGAGACAGTCCCTGGGACATGCTCAGACAGTGTCTGGAATGTCGTGAGCACCAGCACCTGGAGGATAGGACCGTAAAGTAACTGTACAACCTCTGTGCCGGGCCCGTGGCCTGCCTGCCGAATCCCACTCCGGTTGGAGGACGCCAGTGAGTAGAAAGTTCTTTCTCAAGTACCTCTGAGGTTGGCCTCCTTGGAACATCCAACCATGGTCTTGCCCAGCCTCCTAGAGAGCTCGGTGGGAGGCCTGTTAGCATCCGATTTGCATACAGACCCTGGGAAAGGTGTGCCAGGTGCCTGCAGCTGATAAGCAGCTCGATAGGGATGCTGGTGGCCAAAGGTTGTTCTGGGCTCACTGAGACCAGGTCCCACCCTGTGTGTCCCTCCTTCCTTGTTTTCTGTTGCTTCCTGCTCACCTGGGGACACACTGGAGTGTTTGTGGAAGGGGACCTGGTGTTCTCTGAAGCCACTGGCCTGGGTTCCCCCTGCTAATGGGGGGGCTGGGGGCGGGGGCGGGCAGTGAATGGGGTCTGGCATTGCAGGCGAATTTGAATGATCTGTTGAGAGCCCTTTAGCTAAAGGCCTCTCACTGAGAACTTGGTCAGGGGTCTGTCGCATTCTATGCTCATAGCTGGCGACTCCAGCA